ATATATATTCAATTTTGTTTTCAATGAGGTGGCTTATTACATTGTGTTTTTTTTATCTTGCAGGTTTATTATAACAAAGAACAGACAGTGGAGAATGTAACAGTATAAAACACTACATGAGACAAAGTGAAGGGATCAATGTCGACACTAAACGATTTGCTCTTCAATTCCAATGACTCACAATCCCCTCTGGTCATTGTATAAAATACATGGAAGAAAACAGAACTACACCTAAGGCAGCTAAGCTAGACAACACACAAGATACACAGTGCTTTATAAGTTTGTAACATTTCGTATCCGGGAAGAGATATTGTACTTCTGTTTCTTCTTTCTCTCGGTTCACTTTTTGAATATGAAAACAAACATTTAGCAGAGACTGCTCTTCAGAGGGGCACTAAAAAAAAATTATATGTATTCCTGCAAATGAAAGTATCGGCCATCACTTGCAGTCATTACTCATTATTTTACAATTTAAAGCTAAACTCCACCCAAACAGTCAAAATCTGCCCAATGGGACAAATACGGCAAAAAAAGTGACAGTGGTCTCAACCTAATATCAAATAGACTTAAACCTTAATCAAAAATAGAGCCTACAGGCTCACATAGGGCTCACATTACAAATAGTCTGATTTCTGTTGTGCAGAGGGTAGACAGAAGACAATTGTAAGATATGGTCCAGGCAGTATTTCTAAATATTTAAAATCAATATATAACTGGATTTTAGTGTTTGCCTGGAGTTCGGCATAAGCATGTGCCATACGTCTTTGTTATCTGTGTGCAGGTATGAAAACACTGAAATAATACACGTTTCCAATGATATCACAACAGACACTAAAAGAGAATACTGTACACAATAGGTTATATAAATTACATTGCTTTAATACAAAAACTCATGAGCCCAGAATATCTTATCTCAGATGCTGCAATGTCTATGCATAGACTGAATAGAAACCTCTCTGTCTTGTGTACTCTTTGTATTAAATTTTTGCTTCTGGGTTTAGATACACTTAAGGCCTCATACACAGGGGCCTTCCATGTTTAAACACAGGAGAAATTAATATGGGAGAGTATAAACAAACTTAGGCCTCATGCACACATGCTTAAAAAAAACATGCATTCAGATGAGTTTGGATCTCATTTCTAAATGCATCTGGACGTATGTAAAGCTTTTCTATGGTTGAATTCACACCAGATGTTCAGTCTAGCTGCATTTAAATAAACAAGACATGTGTGCATCCAGGGACCATTTTGTCTTGTTTTCTGTAGCTAAATACATGTGAATGTAAGTAAATCTAGACACAAGAAAAATGGATCTGGGAAGGGGTCCCTAGTTAAAGGGTCCGTGGATGTACAAAATTGTTTATGCATACCTGGAAGGACTCTTTTTAGTACAAAGTATGTAAAAAAAAAAAAAAGATACACACCCTGCCACCACCTCAGTTACCTAGGCCATGAAGAATTATTTTGTAAAATGATTGATTAAACACGCAAATTTCCTTTTTTTATCACTGGTTTTACTTTATATTGGCTTTTCAAAATAACTAGTTCTATCATTTAGAAGTTGGATGAAAGGTCTAGTGTACAAAAACATTTTTGTCATTAAAATAAAACATCAGAACAAAAATATGG